ACACAAACACTGAAACTGAAAAGAATGTGCTATGCCTTCATGCTATACACTATTTCTTTAACAGCTCCATGGTATACCAGTGTATGTAGATTGGGCTGAGGATATAGCTCAATGAGAAAGCACTTGTCTAACATATATAAAGCATAAAGCCCCAGGTTCAACCTTCAGCATAACCAAAAAAGGATGGAGATTGCTGTTTCCTTTTCAAAATTGCTATCACTAGCAATATATACAATAAAGCATGCACATGTATTTTTATACACACACACACACCTTAGCCCACTCATATTTGTGAAAATAACAGAATTTCTATCCAGAAAAAGTAAAGCTTAAACATGGCATAGTAGCACATGTCTATAATCCTAGTATTCAGAAGGCTGAGGTTTAAGGATCTCTAGTTTCAGGGGCAGCCTAGGCTACACCGAGAGACTTTAAAAAACCAAGAGTTGTCCTCTGACCTCCACACCCATGCCACCACTCACAAACAATGTACACACAGACACAAATACGTTTTTATAGAAAGAACTTTACCTGGATGGAGAGACTGCTTAATGATTGACAGCACTTGCTGCTCTTGCAGAGGACCTGGATTTGTTCATATACATAAAAAATTGTAAATTTAGCTGGGTGGTGGTGGCGGCGGCGGCGGCGGCGGCGGCGGCGGTGCACGCCTTTAATTCCAGCACTCAGGAGGCAGAAGCAGGATCTCTATGAGTTCAGGCCAGCCTGGTCTACAGTGTGAGTTCCAGGACAGCCAGGGCTACACAGAGAAACTCTGTCTCAAAAAATAAAAAAAAAAAAAAATGTGAACTAGCAGGACGGTTGGTAGCACATGCCTTTAATCCCAGCACTTGGGAAGCAGAGCCAGGTGGATCTCCGTGAGTTTGAGGCCAGCCTGGTCTACACAGCTAGTTCTAGGACAGCCAAGGCTACAAAAAGAAATCCTATCTTGAAAAACCAAAAAAAAAAAAAAAAAAAAAAAAAAAGAACTTACTATTAATAAATCCAAACTATACCTCTTTTATAAGTGAAATTCTGGTGTTGCTATACCTGGAATATTGTATATATTTTATTTACATTTTAAGAAAAATAAATATTTTTATTTATTAAAAACTTGTGGCAGGCAGTGGTGATACACACCTTTAATCCCAGCACTCAGGAGGCAGAGCCAGGTAGGTAGATCTTTGAGTTCAAGACAGCCTGGTCTACAGATTGAGTTCTAGGACAGCCAAAGCCACACAGGGAAACCCTGTCTCGAAAAACAAAAAAGCAAAACTTGAAAAGCATGCATTCATTCATTTCTCTCTGTTCTTGACTCTAAATATAATGTGACTTTCCCACAGTAATGGTCTGTAACCTGGAAGTATAAGCTAAAATAAACCCTTTCTGTCCTAAAAACGAAACATAACTTGAATACTTGCTGGATCTGCTGGCACACACCTGTAATCCCAGAACTCCCCAGAACTCAGGACATAGTGCAGTAAGATCATCCAGGAATTCATCGATAGCCTGGTCTAGATAATGAGACCCTGTCTCAAAAACACACACAAAAATGAACATTGTAAATTGTTTTGCTCCTAAGATTTTATACTACTTTAAACTTTTGATTGTGGATTTACAAGTACTAGATGAAGCCTCAGCCTCCTGAGTGCTGGCATTAAAGACATGATGCACCACCAGGCCTGGCAAAAAGCCCTTTCCTAGCTTTGCTGATAGCTGCAGAAAGAAGGGCTTCCTTGCACTCAATGGCAGTGAGTATCCAGTGGCCCCTGTAAGGACTGGTTGCTCTAGCCTGACAAATAGCTATTGGTATTCCTTTAGGAAACCAGGCTATTTGATGAGTTAAATAAATAAGGGCAAAAAGTAAAATCTTCTGTGCATCAAAACACACAGTAAGAAGGCACCTTCCACAATAAACTGTTTTACAGAGAGGAAAGGCAGCCTGCTGAGATGGCTCGGGTGCAAAGAAGTGCTTGCAGCCCTGTGTGAGGACCTGAGTTCAAGCCCTGGAACTGACTGAGCAGGAGAATTTGCTCCTGTAGATTGTTCTCTGGCCTCCACGTTCACTCCATGGCATTCAAGTATACTCCCTGGCACAGTAAATGTAATTTAAAAAAAGTTCAAGTGGGGCCAGCAAGATAGCTCCGTGTGCAAAGGCAATACTATCAAACCTGATGACCCGAGTCCAATCCCAGGGACCACCACTGTAGAAGGAGAAAAATCAACTTGAGCAAGTTATCCTCTGACCTCTGCATGTACCATCGTGTGTGTGTGTGTGTGTGTGTGTGTGTGTGTGTGTGTGTGTGTATGTGTGCGCGCGCGCGCGCATGCGCGCGTGCACACAATACCCTGGGTGTGGGGAAGACAAAATTTAAAGAGCTAAAGGTCAACTTATATAATTGGGGAAAATATCTGCAAATCTGATGAGTTGATGTTCAGATACCTAGTTTGCCCTTCCTGCTGATGGAGCATCAAGAAACTTCAACACATTGACAAAGCCAAAACTCCCTACAGAGAGTGTGTTTTCCTAAAGGCATTTCAAACAAGAATGTTAAAAACAACAAACAAAGCCGGGTGGTGGTGGTGGTGGCGCACGCCTTTAATCCCAGCACTCGGGAGGCAGAGCCAGGCGGATCTCTGTGAGTTCGAGGCCAGCCTGGGCTACCAAGTGAGTTCCAGGAAAGGCGCAAAGCTACACAAAGAAACCCTGTCTCGAAAAACCAAAAAAAAAAAAAAAAAAAACAACAACAAACAAACTGTGTTTATTTAAGGCCGGAAGTTTGTAACCTTGAGTTTCCCTGAATTAGCACTGGTCTCAGCCCTAAATCTAAACAATGAACCTCATAAAACCTTTCACTTGCAAAAGAACATTCTTTAAGAAAAACAAGTAGGCCAGCAGGTGGTGGCCCACGCCTGTAATCCCAGCACTCGGGAGGCAGAGGCAGGTGGATCTCTGTGAGTTCGAGGCCAGCCTGGGCTACAGAGCTAGTCCAGGACAGACTCCAAAACTACAGAGAAACCCTGTCTCGAAAAACCAAAAAAAAAAAAAAAGAAAAACAAACCAGCTCATATATTCTTACTTAATTTAATTACATTTTAAGCCTGATTTAATCAAACCCTGTTGTAAGCTACAGCCTTTGAGATACCTGACTTGGGAAGCCACAGGCTTTCACATAGACAGCCATTGTGAAGACCCAGGAGAGCCAATTGTCTTATGAAGCAGACCCCCACGTACTGCCCTTTTCTTACTTGACTCCAGCTCTAAATAGTCATAGACTCACTAACTTGGCTTCACTCCGGTTTGTCTTGAAATTGTTTTTCTACATTTTTACCTCGGAGGAGGTCCCTGGAGGGAGAACTCCTCAGAATACTGGTAGCTTTGTCCACCGCCAGCACCTAACTTTAATTCAGTGGGACCTGGGGTTACACACCTGTAAGTACCATCACTCTGGAGGCTGAGAGAAAAGGATGAGAGTTCAAGAGCAGCCTGGGCTACACACAGTAAAAACCTGCCTCAAAAAAAAAAAATCTACACGTTAACAACATACACCTATATGTTCCTATATGTTGGAGAGATGACTGTGGTTAAGAGCACTGGCTGCTTTTCCAGAGGACCTGGGCTTAATTCCCAGCACAACCATCTGTAAGTCCAGTCCGGGGGAGGGGAGGGGAGGGGTGCCCCACACCCCACTGTAGTTGTGATTCTCTTCCCTTTACTGATGAGTGTGGGGGGGGGGTTGCCATGGCAGGCTTAGAGGCCCTGACACAGCTTCTGTGACAGGCTTACTGGCAGGCAACACCCAGATCCAGGAAAAGCCATAAACTAACCCAGGGATGAGCCAGCATCTAAGGGGAAGTACCAGACATCCCCAAACGTTACAACTCTTAGATTAAATAAGATCACCAGATGTCCCTGAGCCTAGCACACCCCTATTTCCCTTTTACAGATACCCCTAGACAAATGTCAGCCAATCAGGGTCTTGAACCCTAGAAATCCTCCCACCCCAACCTCTGCTATGATAAAAACCCTACCCTGCCTGAGCTCAGGGCTCTCTGCTCTTACTGCTGTGTTGGACAGAGTCCAAGCTCTGAGCTTGAACATAAGGGCTCTTTGCTTTTATATAAGGGATTCGGTCTCCGTAGCGGCCTTTTGGGGGTCCCCGCTATCCAGGCATAACAATGAGTGGTTTTGAGCATCCTTTCACGCATTTGTTTGCCACTATTAGCGTGTTTTTAAGAAAAAACATTAGTATGTTTTTAAGAAAAAGCCCTTTGCTTATGTTTTATGTAGATTCTTTAAAATTAATTTTATGGGCATGGGTGTAGTGCCTGCATGTATGTCTGTACACCACATGGGTACAGTGACTGTGGAAGCCAGAAGAGAGCACACGATCCTGTAGGACTGGAGTTAGAAAAGGTTGTGAGCCACTATATGGATGCTAGAAATTGAACCCGAGTCCTCTGGAAAAGCAGTTAGTGCTTTTAACCTCTGAGCCATCTCTCCAGCCCTGTACTACAATTTTTAATAGTTAAATATTCCCCTCCACATTACCAAGCTCCGACTCAGCCATCTGGTGAAAGCATATTCAGTCACACAGCTTAACGGTTCCTGTCCTTTAATGTCAACGCTCTGGTCAGGAAATGAAGCATTTTACAGCCTCTATCAAACACTACATAGCATTTCTGTTTCAGATCCCATTTACTAACAACTTGGGGACCATTTATCCTCTTTTCCGCCCAGGTCTGACGGCTGGCAGGTTAGAAAGACTCAAGGACTTCATCAGTTAGTTGAAATTCGGGCTCTTAAATAGTTCACACTGGATAGTTATTTGACTAATATGGCAAATATGGCGGGGGGTGAGGTGAGGGGTGGGAAGACGCTCCCCAGGTTAGAAATCTGGTCAAATCCACAAGCGGTTCCTAGGGGAGCGTGGGCGCCATTCCACCCCAACCCCAGGCCAGGAACTGTGAGCTAGTCCCGCCTGGATGCCCAAGCATACCTCAGATAACTCGCAGCCAGCTGTGGGCTCAAAGCCTCCACTTCCGCTGAACCTTGAGAAGCCTCCATGATCAAGGGAAATGGATTCGCAGTAAAGCCACGCTTGAATTTCGCTCGCTCCCGCCTTACACAAGCTTGGCGCACGAACCAGACTGGTAGAACCAACCGTCCGCCTCCAGGCTGGCCAATCCGGGATCCGGTGCTCCAGCGCTGTTTCCGGAGCCCCGCCCAGGAAGGTCTTGCGCTTGCGCCCTCGCGCACTGGCGCTAGCTGGCTTGTTAGCTAGTTTGGCGTTGCGTATTGGGCTACGTCTTCACGTGATCGCTGGTGTTTTCTTTCCCTTCCAAACTGTGCGGCGGTGTGAGAGTGTTGAGAGCGAAGTGAAGGAGTTGAGAGAGTGAGTAAAATGTGCGCGTGTTTCTCTTGAACTCGTGAGTGGAAGCTATCTTATTGTAATGGCCCGGGGAGGTTTCCATTGCCCCTTTCCCTCCCTGCCAGTGCTCGGCACTGAACATACTTGGAATTCAAACACCTAAGAGACGAAGTCTTGCACCTCAAAACGACACTGAAGGTTTTCAAGGACAGAGCCTAAGCTGTTGGTGGTGGTGCACAAGTGTTTAGGAAGCAGAGGCAGGAAGATCTGAAGATCCAGCCCACAGTGGGCTTACATATAAGCAAGACCCTGTCTCAGAAAAAAACTAAGAGGGATGTAGGGGGATGAAAACAAGGACTAAAGCTCTTATTTAAGTAATACTAAATGAATTCAGCAGGTTTTATAAAGAAGAGGTTGTGAATTTGAAAGGTTTGGAAAGGGGACATGATAGGAGTTGAATGGGAAGGAGTGGACATCATGTTAACACAGTACTAATGTAAGAAAGTCTGAAAAAAATTAAATTTAAAAAAGAAATAGCTGGATTTCATGGCACAAGCCTAGAATTCCAGCACCTTTGAGGTTGAGGTAGAAGAATTGCAAGTTCAAAATCTGCATGAGCTATACAAAGAGTTCAGGCCAGCCTGAGCAACTTAGTGAAACCCTGCCTTAAGAAATGAAGAGTACTGGGGATATACCTCAGTAGCAGAGCACTTGTCTAGCATGTGTGAGGCTCTAGGTTCCTTAAACAAACACAATTGTAATGTGGTCACCTCTTTAGAAGTTCTAGTTAAGATGCAGTCATTTTCAAAGGCAAAGGTCAGGCCTTAGGAAAATATGAAAGAGTGATAAATAGGAGGTTGTGTGCTAACAAAAATTATTCTGGTTTGTATACTGGTAAGAAAGCCATTGTGGTGGTTCACTCCTAAAGTCCCAGAACTCTGGAGACTGAGGCAGGATTGTGATGAGTTCAAGGCCAGCCAGGACTAAAAACACGCTGTTGAAGACATGGACATCATGATTTCAACGGAACAGTCCTATTCCCGTCTGTCCTGAGGATTTGAAGCTTTTTAATAAATGTCATAGATCATTAGGAAGCAAAAGAAATCTTAGAGAAGATGGGCTGTTTCCTTGGCTTATATGATTTTTGTTTTGTTTTTTGAAACTTGTTCTCTACATAGCCCTGGCTGTCCTGGAACTCACTATGTAGACCAGGCTGGCCTTGAACTCCCAAAGGTCTGCCTGCCTCTGTCTCCCAAGTGCTGGGATTAAAGGCCTGTGCCACCATGCTGGGATGGTTATTATATACTTATATAGAATCTTACTATGTAGCCAGAGCTGGCCTCAAACACTCAAATCTTATTTCCTCAGCCTCTTTAGTATTAAATTAACAAGTGTGTGCCACCATGTTAGGCTTTGCTTGTAAGTACTAGTTGTTTTTTTTTTTGTTGTTGTTGTTTTTTGTTTTTTTTAGTGGGGTAGGGTCTCACTCTGTAGCCTAGGCTGGCCTCAAACTCTTAACCTTCCTGCTGGAGTCCTGTGAGTGCTGGGATCCCAGGCTCAATCCATACATCCAGCTTGAATGATTTGAACTCATGTTTATGAGTTCAATTTCTCTATTAAGAGGCCCTTTAATGTTTCGCTAGTCCCTCTTTTGTGGAAATATGCTACAGGAAATAAGGTGACTTTACCTCAGAATCCCAAAGGAGGAAATTGCAGAGCCAGAGTTTGTTACGGAGTTGATATGGATGTAAGTGTGTGCTCTTTCACTGTCACACTGCCCATTGCTGCAAAGGAGAGTTCTGAGAAATGAGGTGAATGAGCTAGTTAGTGGGAGGAGGCTTGTTTACCCTGGGGGAAGTATTTGAATCACATCTTTTCTTGAAGACAAGTTTGGATTGAGGTGTGCTATGGTTGAATCCCCAGAAAAAATTATGTATTGAAATTCCCTGTGATGGAGGTTAGGAAGTGAAACCTTTGGGGCATGATTAAGTTATAAGGGCTCCACCCTCTTGAATACTTTAGTGTCTTATGAAAAGTCTGGAAGCATCTAACGGGCCTTATTTGCTTTTCTGCCATGTGATGTCACAGCATTCCCTCCCCAGCCGAGGATGAAGTAGATAGGCAGCATCTTGGAAGGGGAGGGATCCCCCTTCACTACACCAATCCTACCATGTCTCTGATTTTGAACTTCTGAGCTTCCAGAACTGCAACAAATTTCAATGGGCCCAAAAAGATGACCAACCTGTACTGCATAATGACATCCTTTCTCCAAACAGAGATCTTCATATGGAGTCTAAGGGAGACTGTTTCTAGGTTTCTAGCTGTGCTTTGATTGGGGCTCTTCCATTGTCAGTTATAGCCCTGCAGAATTCAAGAAGCAAAGCAGGTTCCTAGTTGCTACTGTAGTGGGCTGCCCCTCCGTATATGTAAAGGGGCAGCCCACTACAGATCTGCCTTCCTAGCTGGAAGTGATCCCCAAAGGCTCTGTCAATGAGAAGGAAGGCCTAACCCTCCCTTTGTCTATTAAAATTTAAAACCATTTACATACCAGTTATCTTGTGGCTTTTCTGTTCTCTGACCCCAGATAAGTTTATTAAGGTACACAATATTTTGGGGAACACAATACCACCACATTTCCTCTCTTTTTGTCTAAAATTAAAAAAGCTTGTAACTAATACAAGAAAAACTATCTAATAACTATATACAATATATACAGTCAAAAATTACATTAAACATGTCTAGTCCATTAACATTTGACAGATTCAGATAAAAACTCCATTATATATATTAACAATGTCCAGTCCAGTAACATCTGATAAACTCAGACCAAAAAATTTTCATTACTTATCTTATTTAAAACAAGTAGCTCCTTTTTAAAAGTAGATTCCATAATCTCCCTTTTTATCTTATCATATCCATATTCTCTCTTTTTTCTTTCCATAATACATTCAGTAGTCTACCTTTTGTCATTTTTATATCTTCCCCTTTTTCTTCAGTGTAGATTCAGTGATCTACCCATTTATCCTATTATTTCTTTATCTTTTTTCTCAGAGTAGATTCAATGATCTATCTCATATCTTATTCTCTTTTTCTTTTTGCTTTCTAGGGGTGAAGATCTCTTTAGGGAATCTTGAAAGGAAAAAATTTAGGTTAATTGTCAAGTCCTGTATCATTTGTCACAAGTTCTTGTTCGAGTAATCTGTCAGGTTGGATCATCTCAGCTAGTCATCTCGAAATTGTCCTGACCAGTTTGTAGTCCAACGTAGATCTTTCCTTGGTGTTAACCATCTTTAATCTCAGCACTGGGGAGGCAGAGGCAGGAGGATCTCTGAGTTCAAGACCAGCCTGGTATACTTAGGGAGTTCCAGGAAAGCTGGACCGCATAGAGAAACCCAGTCTTAAATATAACAAAAACATATTTCCATTTATTTGTTTGGTGTGTGTGTGTGTGTGTGCGCGTGCGTGCGGGTGCGCGCCCATGCCATAGCATATGTGTGAAGGTCTCAGGAGAACTTGTAGGACGTGGTTCTCTTTCCTCCATGTGCGTTCTGGGGATCAGACTCAAGTCATCAGGGTGGGCAGCAAGTGCCTTTCTCTGTGACTGGATTTTCTCAGGCCATTGTCATTCTGCTTGGGGAGGGGGTTCCCCTCCACCTCGAAGCCTTGTACTTGCTGCTTCCTGGGTTTTGTCAGGGAGTACAGGGGTCAAACTTAGGGTGGTGGTACATGCTGCTAGGTAAGCCTCTTCCACTGAACTACATCCCCCAACCTTGCTGCTTCCTTTGGGCCATTTCTAGTGCCTTCCAGAGTCCCAGTTGCTATACCGAGGGCTCCAATGCTCCAAGGCACTCCCCACTAAAGCTCTAAAGCCTCTCCTGTAACAGTTATCCTCACTCAGAGGCCAGAAATAAGACACTTCGAGGGGAACTTAGAGTGGATAAAGGATTCCTAATAACAGTTCTGTATCCCATTGTCATGTGACCCGTACTATTCAAAGCACTTTGCATATATTAACTCTCTGGGCTATCCCCTTTTCTACATCTACACTGAATCAAGGGTTCCTGTTGCCCCAACACCTCTCAAGGGAATGGGGTTTGGAAAGCTTTCCCTAGCTGGGCTGTGGTGGCGCACGTCTTTAATCCCAGCATTTGGGAGGCAGAGGCAGGCGGATCTCTGTGAGTTTGAGGCCAGCCTGGGCTACAGAGTGAGTTCCAGGAGAGCCAGGGTTAAACAGAGAAGCCCTGTCTCAAATAAGAAAAAGAAAAGAAATAAGAAGAAAGAATGAAAGAAAAGCTCTCCCTAACCTGGGCATAGTGGCCTGTGCCTTTAATCCCAGCCCTTGGTATGCAGAGGCAGGTGGATCTATGTAAATTGGAGGCCAACCTGGTCTACTTAGTGAGACCCGTTTGTGAAAAAAAATAAAAAAGAAAAGAAAAGATCTCTCTAATTATTATTAATTTTTAAGTGTGATAATGGTATTTTTTTAAGTCCTTATCTGTTTGAAGCATATTGGGTTATTTTTAGGCAAAATGATAGGACACCTGAAACTTACATTAAAAAGAAAGGGGTAAACAGAGATTGTTGATAATTTCTGGGGCTCCTTACAGAGTTCTATGATCCTCTTCTCTGGATTTCTGAGTGTGTTTGAAGACTTCTGTAACAGAGTCATTTTAAAAAATTATCTAATCTGCAAATTGCACTGAGTCACCTCAGCTCACAAAACGGAAATAAGATAATGAGGCTTAGTGGGAGAGTTCAGAGT